AAATACAAGAATAACACACGATTAAATTACTGAAACAAGTAATGCTGGTAGATTATAATTTGATATTGTATACCATTTACTCTCTGTTAGATAAGGCGACGTGGTAATCTGTTAGATAAACATACATGGAAGTATATGTTAGATAACTACAATTTATGATATATTTTAAACCAAGGAAGTGGCCTTTCTAAAAATAAAAAAAAATAAAGGAAAATATATTTCATACAATTGTTATACTGTTACTGTTATCGTGAAGAAACATGATTGTTTATTTAATGTTGTTTATGACAAACATGTAATCATGTACATTTTTTAAATAAGAACAATTATGCTACATGTATGAATAACTCTCAAAAATTATGTTTTCATCAATCCAAGTATTTTTTTATTTGTATTACTTGATTTATACTGAATAAAGATTACACAAACATACAAAATGGTGTTGGCTGTGTGACTGAATTCCTCGTTGAGAAGTGGTATCGGGTGTCCCATAGATAAGAAGCAAACCCTCCTTGTGATACACTTGTGAACATTTTAAAAGACCCATTTCGCTGTGTTCCAGAAAAATCCCCATTATAGCTAGTGCATTACATGGTTGTTGTTGGGGGAAAGGTGGGTCTTTTCTATTGGCAATGATTTACTTTTTATAGGCCCACATTGAAATGTGGTCGTATATTGTCGTCGCCCCCCTTTTGCTGTTAATATCCGATTGACTTTAAATTTATACGCAGTGTTTAAGGTCATAAGACGAAGAAGCCTTTGATTTGCTCTGCCCAGGCAACGTTCCTGTGCTCCGATTGCCTTCAAATATGCACAGAATGTACCTTGGGATTCTAGCTATCACATATTAAAAATAGAAGAGTGTTGGATTCCGAGAACGTTCAAAATAAATTCAAAACCCGCCCCCAACAATCAAAGGTTTTTTGCTTAAAAAATTGCCGTATTTTATCGAATTTTTATTGTTCTTGATATCTGAGGATTTTTCTCAATTTAGTATGTGATATATATCATCGCGGCGCAGCCAACCGCTAGAAATTCCAGAGATTTGGACCACCGGAATGATGCCTCAGCAGTCAAAAAAGGTCAAAATAGGCGATTTCGGTTTCTAGTGTCGATACATCGTTACGGTCATTTTAAAAAATTGTCTTTTAAGGATAATGTGTATAGTACCAGTACCTATCACATACGGAAGAGGCGATAAAATCTCTTTGCATTTGCAATTTCAAAATTAATTAAAACCAATATTAAATTCCGAAAATCGTTTTTTTGCTAAAACTTTTTTTTTTTTAATCGGATCAAAATGGGAGTAAGGCACATAGTCCGGGGTGGTAATGGGCGTATTGTGTCCAAATTTCATGGTTTTCGGACAATCGGTGCCGGTGTCACGGCGAAATTCCACTTTTTTCCCCTCATGGAAGCCGTAAATTGACTTGAAGCCAGGGTCCTTGAAGTTGTACAGCTGCACCCGGTGACCGATATTTATTTAACGGGGAATAAGTGATAATTCATATTATAGCAGTAAATAATTAAAATATTTCATAGGGATTATAATAATATCTATATCTTGTCTGGGTACAGGGTTAAAACCAATATTAAATTCCGAAAATCGTTTTTTTGCTAAAACTCTTTTTTTTTAATGGGATCAAAATGGGGGTAAGGCACAGAGTCCGGGGTGGTAATGGACGTATTGTGTCCAAATTTCATGGTTTTCGGACAATCGGTGCCGGTGTCACGGCGAAATTCCACTTTTTTCCCCTCATGGAAGCCGTAAATTGACTTAGAAAAAAAACGACGAAAGGCAGGTGACAAGAACAAACGACATGAACGAATGCAGGTATCACCTTGAAATTTTCAGGGTACCTAGGTACCAACGTGAAAAGTTGCTCGCCGGAATTTAGTACTCATGGTACCTTTGGTTCCAGCGTAGCGCATGCGCGAAGTCAAATCCAGCTAAACTCGAAAACAACCTTGTCGGCACGGAAAACATCAAAGGAGAAATTCGAATAAAAAATGATACAATGATTTCACACAACAGGCCAGCTATTAGCCTCTCGATTGACAAGAGTTTCATCGCCCTCCATTCATTATAACCAATGTCATCGTGCCCTAAAGAATCAACAAATCAGCTTGCTTATCTCTGCTTACCCTAGGCAAAAAATGCTCATCTTTGAACTCAATCATGACATTGACCTAGTGAACGCCTACACCAAGTTTGAACATTCTAGCTTAATTAGAAGGAGAGTTCTTGTGTTCCAAAGTCCCGGCCCTTCAAATTGCTTCTATTTTTCATTTTCAATTCAAAATGGTGACCATCACGTGACCGAAATCAAAATTCTGATCCGATAGATTTTTAGGTATTCCTTCCAGGATTCCGAAAATATGACGCCCGAGTCTGTAAGTAAAATAGCAAAAAAGCCTTTTTGATTTTTCACGTTTAAAGATGGTGGCACTTCCGGTTCGATCGACAAACTCCATATTTTGTGTACGAATCAGTAATTACTTGTCTAGTATCGAATTTATTTTTTAGGTCATTCTGACCTATATTTCGACGATTTTTTTGAAAACTTTGATCCTTAATTTCACCAAGGGGAGATAATTTAGAAAATTTCCAAGGACATCATTGAAGTCGCATTGGCAAGATCTACTAACATTCTAAATTTCACGAAAATCGCACAACTATTAAAGAAGTTGTCAAATTGGTAATAACTTCCGGTTCGAAATGACAGCGACGAATTTTCGAAATGCCAAAATCCGAAATTGCAGATTTGAAGTAAAGGTTTCAAGATACTCAAAGAAAAAAGAATTAGTAAAATAGGTCAAATAGTCACAGAGTTACAGCATTGTAGGTCAAATGCATTCCTTCGTAAAATTCGGTGATTTCGGATTCGTAAAACGTTTTGAAAATATATTTAATCAACAGCCACCACCCATTTTTGGGGGGATAGGTAAAAGTTTCAGAACGATCCTATGGTTAGATTCTGAGAAATCCGATTTGTGGACAAAACACAAAAAAAAAATAACAATAATAATCTTAACAGAAACAATAAGCTTTCATATGTAATATGAAAGCTTAATAATAAGAATAATTTTAACAAAAACAATAGTGTTTCACACAAGCTACGCAGTGTGAAACCCCTTATAATTCTGATGATATCTTTAAATATTTGATCATATCACTGTTCACTAAGTGTACCTATAGATTATCTATTATTTGATTATCCTCTGAGGAATTTTCCTGGATAAATATGAAGAGGGTATAGTTAGTGATTCACTTGTGCTTAGCAAAAATCTTGTTGCTTACTAGTAGAGTCAAATTGCAGAATAACCCTAAAACAATTGCAAGAACACGTTTTATTGCATTTTCTTATAGTATTTGGTCCAGAGAACAACATATCAAAAGTTGTCTGAAATTGAGCTACCGCAAAGGGTCTAAATATGACGTCAAACAAAATGGCCGCCATTGGACCAAAATCCCTTTTTTCTGCTCATATTCTATCAAAGCTGTTGTTTAAGAAAGCTTAGGTGTAAGACAATGCTATTATAAAAGCAATATCTTAGTAATTCATCACTCTGTCAGTGTTGTGCAGTGTCTCCAAGTAACGCCATGGCGTTATAAGGGGTCCTTATGACGTCATGATGAAAATTTTTCCTTTCTGATGGTTTGTTAACCATTTCATTTGAGGTTGTAGATGGATAGATAGCAAAAGTGCAGGCAATTGCTGCAATAGGCATGACGGCCATGATTTATGGTCGGTCTAGAATATAGTATCACCAAAAAAAGTCCCAGTCCGAAATCCGTGCCAAAATGGGTCAAATTGGCCAAAATTCAAAATGGCCGCCGGTTTTGACTGGAAAATGTCAATGTGTATCCAATTATCATAATATGATCGAGCTTGCTATCAAAATGTATTTTTTCGGGGTAGCTGAATCCATTTCCATACACTCGTAAGTAAAAATACTGAATTTAATACAGACCAACCAAAGGGCAGGGAGTGTTGGGTTTAATCGACAATTCCCCTGTGACAATGTCTATGACTCTATTTTAGATAATAAAACAAGTAATTTGTCCATGCCTAGCCCCTTTCCTTATTACGCGAAGCAACACCAAGAAAACCAACACTTCGCCTCGTTTGGCTGTGGAAGTGACGTGGATTTATTACTTTTATGCACCGAAACTAGTCAGTACTGATTCGCAGTTCTAGTTATGTCTAGTCAGATTAAACCCAACACATCTCTTTTACTATCAAGATGAGTACTTACGTTAAAGTATTTACCTATTTACTTACAATCTTAAAGTTCATTTCATACTACAACAAAACAACACGTTTGACTTTACATCGAGTATTTAAAGAAACTCTGTGAAATGACTAACGTCCTAATATCATGCACAAAATCATAGCAATATATAGCTACAGAAAGTATCATAACATTTACAAATTAAAGTTTTTAATCGATTATCCTTGATGTTAGATTAACAAAATAGCTTAACAGAGATGACAAAAAAAATGATAAGAAAATGTCTGTTGACCATGTATGTGTTATCTGTTTCAGGTTTGACATTCCTTTTAAAATGCCCTTAAAATTGACACCTAATAAACATGTACAGAATGAATGGCACTGCTTGATTTATCTAAAGGCTAAAAACACACACTATCTTGTGTACGATACCTTGCACTATTTACAACTAAATAGAACAACGGTTTGAAAACCGAAGCTATTGGGTAGAAGATAGTTTAGTTTTATTAGTGTATATTTTTAAACGATATCCTATAATTGTGGACACGAAAAATCTTTCATTTCAACACCACGTCGAATATTGTTCATTGAGTTAATCGTTTATTTTTAACCACAAACTAATCGAAGTTTTGTCACAACCAATGCTTGAGAATCGGAACAAAAAGGAGGTTGTATTATCCGATAGATTGTTCTCATCCTTTATCTTAAACCTTTTAAAACACTTATCCAGATAGATGTATTTGTGTTTTCTTACCTTTTTTCAGAATGTAATCAATCACTGGATCCACTCTGTACAAGTAGTGTTCAGGGGTGTGTTATGAGCTTTCAGACGGGCGTTCAACAAGTTGGTGGCAATGCAACAGAAACTTGCAAGTAAGAAGATGTTTTCCATTTACATTACTGGAAAGCTGACCGTTCTTGCTATATAGTTCAAAAATAAATAATGCCAAATGAATATATTGAAAATTTCGTTCAAGTTACTTTATTCTGGGCAAAATTATCACTATTTGAATTATATCATGAAATGTCGACCGTATTTTAATCCCTTTAAATCTCCGCCACCCGATGATCTAGAGAGCTGATTATAGGCTTGTCATGTGAATAAAAGGCTAAATAATAATTTACATAACATTTGAAGCCAAAATTAAGACCTGCAATAGGCCGATTTAGTTCTTACAAAATGCATATTTTAGTCCGATTGGGTCTGTTACATAATTCTCATCCGTCGGGTAGAAATCGTGGAGTAAGCTTTATTTTGAAGGTTTTGATGTTTAATGATAAAAAAACCAATGTTGACATTTTTTCTGAGTACGTCTTCATAGTATGAGAGGCCATTATTTGAGGGTGGCCATTTTGGGATAATATTCCAATTTATTTTTTTTATTTTTACCTTATTTATAATGTTATCGACATATCAACTGTGATTTGGCAATGTGTTAATATTGACAGGGGTCGTGACAATATTTCAGATTTTTTTCGATCACTTCATGAAGATATTTCCAAGATGGCGGCCATTTGTGGCGGGAAAATCGGACGATGTGCTTATTTCGATTAAGTAGTAGAGTTTGATGTCAATAAATATGTTTAAGTTTAAGTGATTAAGTGGTTGTCTTTGGTGTCAATATATATCTTTTCAGCGGCACCGAAAATGTGTAAAATGATCACATGTTCATCTATTTTGCATATTTCCAAGATGGTCGCCATTTTTGGCAGGACAATGGGACGATGTTCTGATATTGATTAAGTAGTCGTCTTTGATGTAAATATATCTGTTTTCGGGTCGCAGATTCCATTTCTGCCGTTTACAACTGAGTAATATGATAACATGTTCACATATTAAGCATATTTCTAATATGGCTGCCATTTGTGGCGGGAAAATGGGACGATGTGCTGATTTTGATTAAGTAATCGTGTTTTATGTCAGTGTGTTTTCTGGACGCAGATTCGAATTCTGCCATTAACAACTGCGTGAAATGATGGTATGTTCACTCATTCAGCATATTACCAAGATGGCTGCCGTTTGTGACAGGACGTTTTCTAAACACATTACCGAAACGGTTTCTGAATCCATTTCTGCTATGTATAAGCTTGTAGCATGTTCCTGGAAGTCATTGCCGTGTTTTACCCATTAGGTATCTTATCCAACGATGAACATTCCTCATCCGAGTTGACCACAGATCTAGTATCGATTTTCCAGGAAAAAAGTGCATTTACTTGGTCGATCAGTCTCATTTTAAGACTTAGTGGCGCCATCGAGACTTTCAGTTTATGTTGTCTGTCGGTTATAGATACAAAATTAACGATGGTTAAAAATGTGAGACTTCCAACATTTGAAAAGGTAATTAATAAATTAAAAGGTAGAACAGAAATGTATGATATTAAATATAAAGAGGTACACAAAGAAATATAAACAAGCACTGCAAATGAAATAGTAACACTTGCTATCAAAAAAACTTCGTGGCATAGATTATATTATCAACTGACATAAAGCTGCGTATGGAAGGAGTCGTCCAAAGGAATGCTGTTGCAAACAAACTATAGCACCAATTTGCAATTAAACGACGACGTGACCCGACATCTATGACATCACTGCCACCACAATTGAAAGAACTGGTGGCAGTAATGTAAAGTAGCCGTTCACTGGTTGTGTAAGTGGTGACATACTTTATGTTTCCAACGCAACAACATTCCACATGCTCATTCCACATTCAGCTTGAAACTCAGTTGATAACATAAGCTACTCAGTCTCGTTCATCATTTCCAGTCGAGCATCCTAAGAGGAAACATCAAGAAACTAAAAAATGTTCTTGATTGCTTGACGTTTGGTTGTCCTCTGCTTTGAAAGTGAATGAGGACGGAGTGAGCATGGCGCAGTCACTATTTAAAATATAGTCATGACCCCTGTGAATAGTAATACAGTGCCAAATCACAGCTGATATGTGAAGGTGTGGTCATTTTACAAGTTTGTAAATGTCAGAAATGGAATCTGCGACCCCGAAAACATATATATTGACGCCAAACACTACTCTTAAAACAAAATCTTCACATCGTCCCATTTTCCCACTAAAATGGCCGCCATCTTTTAAATATGGTCATGAAGTGATGGGAAAAAATTTGAAATATAGTCATGACCCCTGTGAATACTAATACAGTGCCAAATCACAGTTGATATGTCGATAAAATTATAAATAGGGTGGAAATTAAAAAAAAATAAGACCTACATGAAGACCTACTCAGAAAAAATGTCAACATTATTTTTTTGTCATTAAACACTGAAACCTTCAAAATATTCCACGATTTCTCCCCGAAAAGCCGACGGATTTACATTAAGGATCCGACTATTTAAAGAGTGAGGACGAGTAGAAATCATTTGTTTTATTAACAGGTTAAAATGAAAGAAGGTGTTTTCTAATCACGACCACTTTGATCAAAGATATTGAATAATCATTGACCTAAACTGAATGGCAATACATTCGAACTAGTCCATGTGACAGACAAGATTTTCATTACCAATTTGATGAATAAATTTAAAGGACAATATTGGTGCCAGTCATTATCACAAATGTGATAGAACTAATTAAACACGTTCCAAATATAATTTTAACTCAGAGATCATTGCTACGATAGCTGAGTTATACAGGATTCCTGAATCGGAAGTGACGAACGCCAAAGGAAAACACGAGACATACCTCTATATAACTGGCTGAAGTGCCGACTGATAACAGATACATGGGCGAATTTCTGCTCACTAATAATTCCTTCGAAGACTAAAAGTTGTTTTGTGAGACCGTGAGAAGATATCTGACACCTTTTAAAAAGAATTGACTGCCACTAGATAAGAGAACACGAAAGAAAAACAGAAAAAAAAGTCCGTGCATTACCATGTTTTTATAAGGTAGGGGAAAACGGGGTTAGTTCGACCCCATTCATATCTCGCGCCCACTCGGCCAAACCTCAGCAGATTCCAGTACCCTACATCTAGCCTCGGCTGTATGACGAATCCGCCATTGGGACTACTTTCAAGTTCCGGATTACCAACGCCGTTGCCCATGACGACGCATTTGAAGAATGTTTTACCATACAAAGATTTCAAAGTCTGAAGCTGTTTTTCTTTCAAGTTTATCCTATTTGCTTTAGACACGGACCAGTTTGAACTGAAAAGTCTACATACTCTTCGAACGGCGCAGTTTTTAGAACTTCTTTCTAAAAGCGGCAAGTTTTCCTAATAATACCCCAGTCAGACCAGGGTAGCGTACTTACTTCGCTGATACGGCGATGGAAAATAGTTTTAGAGCGCGTTAAGATCGCCATAAGCGTAGTGGAAACGCTAGCTATCGTGCTGTAGTCACCATGGTCGCCAATGATCGCCGAGTCACCGCGTTTATTTTGAGCATGTTCAAAGCAAACGCCAAGGTTCTGCGATCTGAACTGTAAAACTATGAGAATACGACTTTTTTTCAAGTTTGTAGTTTTTGGGGACATTTTCGCGCGTTGTGTTCACGTTTGCCGGCGACCTTGTGCATTTCCTGGTCGCCGTACGGTCGCAGCAGCGCAGTAAGGACGCCACCCCGGTCTGACGGGGACATAAGTAAACCGGTGCCGCATCGCAATTGTAAAGGCGTAGGTGCATATCACTTACTGTTATACAGCCGAGGCTTGATGTTCGTCCATTCGGACATGGTGGCTTTGAGATGAAATTACTTCTATACGCCTGTCAATAAAACTATTTAATGTATGCCGTAAATTAGCCAACTCCACTGTCTTTAATCTAGTATGGCAGTGGTTCTCGACCTTTTTGTGCCAACGGCACACCTTGAAACACATGAAAAAACAGCGGCACACCCGATTTAATATATATGAAAAATATTTGATTTATTTGCAAAATAAAAAACATGGCAAATCATACACGGCATACAACTGTAGCCACAGACTAGTCATAGACACATAGTATGGCTCAAACTAAACGGCACACATAGGAAGATCTCACGGCACAGGTTGGGAATCACTGGTCTACGGTAACGTAGCTTCAAAAGTTATCGAGCTATGTTGGTTTTATTATTTTATTAAAAATGGTGCGAACTAGCCCCGCTCTCCCCTACAGAATGAATATAAACAAGGGACTGTACGGACTATTTCTATTTTTCTCGTGTTACTGTATTGAATTGTCAGCTATCCTCTTACAGTCCCATATAACAACTTTTGGTCTTCGAAGGAATTATTAGTGAGCAGAAATTCGGCCATGTATCTGTTATCAGTCGGCACTTCAGCCAGTTATATAGAGGTATATCTCGTGTTTTCCTTTGGCGTTCGTCACTTCCGATTCGGGAATCCTGTATTACTCAACTATCGTATCAGTGATCTCTCAGTTAAAATTATATTTGGAATGTGTTTAACCAGTTCTATCACATGATAGAACCATGATTTTCAGTTAGCCTTAGGTCTAAAGTGTACAAAATTGGTTGATAGACATCTGGGTCACTTTGCCAAATGTGAGTTTGGCGGCCATCTTTAAAAATGGACGCCATTTTTTAATTTGAAATAGTGCAAGTCAGGGAAACCTCCACAACTCCTCAACAGGTTCACCTACGGATATGTAATATGGCTCAAAATGTTCATAATGCAATTTTGAATCTGCTAGTATATGATACATGTTGTTTAATCAATGCTATCGGTTTCAAAATAAAAGACTAATCTGAAAACAGCAATATTTTCGGGTTTTTTTTCATGATGTCTGTTCATAAGTTTACTAAAACATCTTGTTCAGACCCATATAAGCCAAATTATCTATTTGGTCAACTAAAGTGATTTACTAGATATCAGAAACATTGATCATAAAAAATAATCTCTAATATGAGTGTCCCAAATCCAAGATG